TAAAATATTATTTTTGAAAAAAGATTTTTAATAATCAAATATATATTTTTTTAAATTTAAAAATCTAATAGATATATTATCCTCTAAAATTGATTTATAAAATAAATATATTTAATAAATTATTTAAATTCAAAATGAAAATCTATCAAAGATTGAAAATTTTGTTTAAATTTTGAATTCAAAAAATTAAATTCATAAGTTATCTTTTTTTTTTTTTAAGTTAGCCAAATTTTAAGAATATATATATATATATATATGTATCATAAATTTGAACGTGTAACTCTATTAAAATTGATTAGATTTATTTTTTAATATTATAAATTTAAAAAAATAAATTTATTTTTTAATTCTCTTTTATCATTAGATTATTTTAATGATAAAACAGGAATGGAAGTAAAGTAGGAACACACTCGTCAAATTAAAAATTCGAAAAATCGAGTTTTGGCACGCAAAAATTTAGTGTAATATTTAAATATTTAATTACAGGACCTCGCAAACTCCAAACCATCATCATTATGAAAGTAGGTGGTTGAGATTTTTAGTTCCTATAAAAATATAAATTTCCTTTTTTTTCTTAATAATATTGCTAAAAAAGCTGTTCTTGGTGAAATATTTTCAATTTTTTTGTTTTGCATTTCCTTGAATATAAAGGTATTAAAAATAAGTTTTGTTTGAATATGCATGGGACAATGAGCACAGCTTTGGTGTAGTTGCTGGTAATTTCATGTAATTTTTCAGGAATTTGCTTGCTTGAAAATGGATAAATACATTTTATGCATTGAAATAATTGTATTGTTGGCTTAGAAAATTAATCTAATATATTTAGATTATGTTTGGCACATAGGATTAGTTGAAAGATAGAATGCTAATCATCTTATTACATATGTGTTATTTACTTAAATAAAATGATTGGATTGTTGAAAATATTAGATATCCTATATTAATAAGACAACTCTATCCCTTGAAAAATAGGGGATTATTTTTAATTTATGAAAATAAACTTACATATTCTATTATACTTTTAAAAGTTACATTAATAATTTAAATTGTATAAACTTTAAGAAAAGATAATTTTGATCAATAAATAAATTATCCTATCTTAATCATTGCATACATCAAACATAACAGATAATGATATTATTTAATCTAATCATATTTATAATATTATCTATTATATTCTATCATAATCTCATATACCAAATATGGTCTTAATAGATATTATATTATAATATAGAAGCTTACAAGTTAAAAATTACTTATGTAGACTTTTAGGTGTATATTTTTTTTACATGTAAGAAAATTCATAAAATTTTTTTATAATAACATTTGAGATATTTTTTAATTTTAGACTAATTATTAAAAACATTAAAATTTTATTTAATTATCCAAAATTTTTAAAATTTAAATGAATAAATACTTCGTAAATATTATTTAGTTATCTAAATATAGATCTACATGGATAATTTTTAACTTGTTACTAACAAAATCTAATCATATTATAATAAAAAAGTAAATTTATTATAATATTTATAATAATAAAAATAAACATAAATCTAATTTATTATTATAATCTATTAAATTTATAACATGTATTCGTAATGCATGGTAAGAGTTAATGTATATTTTATAATTAAGAACTTACAAATTTATATAAAAATTCAGAGAAAAACTTTTGTTGTAGATTCCTCATACTAAAATTTGAAATTCTTTAGATATTAAACTTTTTTTTTTGGCCAAAGGGTTTAAAATTTGGATAAAATGCAAATTGGATAAAATGGTTAATAAAATACAAATTGCAGAAAATGGTTAATAAAAAACAAATTGCACATTTTTTATACAGTACTTAAAGATTATAAGATAGAAATTTTTGTTATTTTATAATTCTAAGATAGTCTATTTATTTTCCTTATTCAAAATTAAGTTAGTGGGTATGTGAAGTGGTATAGAAAGAAAATTTTCTAGAGTTAACTTATGTCTAATACAGCTCAATGAAAGAGATAAATTACTATTTTATGATTTAATGATACGTGTTTGTAATTTTCTAATCGTTGTATGTGAATAAAGATTAATATTACAAATGATCGTTGAATTATAATAAAATATTTAATATAATATTTATATTTTAAAATTTTTTAATATGATATTTAAGCTATAAATTGATTAATTAATATAATATTTAAAGAATTATTTATGTGATACATGTTATCATTGAAAACTATCATATTAAAAGTAAATATTAAATTAATTATTAAATTTATAATTTAAATAATTCATTAAAAATTTTTAGAATTTAAGTATTAAATTAAATATTTTATTATAATTTAGTGATATTTTTAATATTAATTAAACACTTTAAATAAAAAATTAAAAAATCAAGGGGTTTGATATTGATAAGCACGTTTTATATAAGAAATATGAGAAGAGATTATCGTCCATTGTGTATAACAAAGACCCAATCGGTTTTCCCAAATCACAAGAAAAGTGAAAAAAAAAAATGCCTTTATGATGCCTTAACCAACAGACAATTTTATATTGCCCGGTATTGTCATGTTTGACTTTCTTTATAAAATAGGTTGTAATTTAAGTGTAAAAGAATAATTTATAAGATTTAAAACTTAAATTTTTAAATTATTAAATATTATATTTTTAAAATATTTATATGATTGAATTAAATTAAAATTAAAAATTGACTTATTTTATTTATTAATATGTATTAAAGACTTGGACTATTTTACTATTCAATAGCAATATACTTAAGAATTGATATGTCATATGAACAATATATATTCTTCATAATAATGAAGATAAAAGATTAGAAGTAAGCAATTGATTGGTTCAATTTAAACAAATCAATAATCGATTTAATTAATTTTTATTTAATATATAATCGAGTCGATCAAAAATTTTTAAATAACTGACTATAATTAAATTAATCAAAATCAATTCGGTTCGGTTAAATAATTAAATTTTTTATTATATTTTTATTATAAATAATTATTTAATTATAAATTCAATTTAATAAAACTCAAACTCAAGTATTATACAAACTAAATCACTAAAATATTTAATAATTTTAACAATATTTTACAAGAAAAAATTAAATAAAACCTTATATCAATTTTTTTACTTTTATTTATTAAAAAGTCGATTAATTTGATTATTAATTTTAAAAATAAAAAATTGATCAAGTTAATCAATTTAATTAATTTAAAAAATCGATTATAACCAAAATCAAATAAACTAAATTGATTTAAACGAATTCATTCAATTTTGATTGATCTAATCAGTTCAAACTAATTTTTACTTACCTTTGTCAATGATCCAACTAATTAGTTAATATCTTAGATAATTGTTAAAGTTAACATCGAAGTGTGAGTTTGAAATAAAGGTTTAAATCACTTAAAAAATAATGGCCTAAATCATCACAAAATTACATAGAAATTAATGGAGATTTAAAGTTGCACGATGTGAAGAAAGTTTTCTCCCTCCCAACTTATAAACTTTATTTTTCTTCTAATTAAGGTATGAATAAACCCTTTGAAATTAAGCCCTAATATCTAACAACAGGAATTAATTTCTCATCAATGACCTAATTAAAGCATGTTTATTGTTAATATATATCATATAAAATCATAACTATATGAATTATATATCATGTAGAATAAAAATTTTATTAAATCCTTAAACAAGATTTAAGATTATATTTTGATTGACGGTAAGATATAATTCAAATGATACACAGTAAGGCTTTATTTGGGTGACTGATAAAAAGGATTCTCACCTATTATCTCGTTGTTTTGTCATTAGACTCGTCCCATCAATTTGTTTTTGCTCAACCAAACATGCCTTAAATCAAAGTCGTAAACCCAGAATAGGGGAGGGTAAAACACGCGCCAAAGGAAAGAGAGTGGAGGGGATGAAGTGGTCATAAATACGAGGTACAGAAGAAGGCAGGCCATTGGTCGATGGTAGAACTAAAGAGGTAAAGGTGGGCCCCTCTTTCCTTTCCCTTGGATTGGACTTTTCTGGAAAGTTCTTCCTTTTCTTAACATTATTCTCATTTCCTTTTTCTGATACCAAACGCTCCCTTCATCTCTCTTCGGCTTATCTTTCCCAACTTCGAAGACCCAAAATAACTTTGCTCTTCCGCCCCAATTTGACCCCCCTTTCTAAATTTTATGCCCGTCCAATCAATTTACTGCACCCGTATTTTTACGAAAAAATTAAATGTAATAATTTAAAATATGATATGAGATATAAAAATAATATAAATAAAAAATATGATAATAATACAGTGTAAAATTTTAATAAAAATTATAAATAAGTTAAATAAAATTAAAATAATATATTTTATATTTTTATATTGATATAAATTATAATATATAATTTTTATATATAATATAATATAAATATATAAATTATTAATATTTTATATTATAAAATATACTAAATTTCAAATTTAGTAAAAACTATACAACCCAAAAAATAATAAAAAATTATATTAATAAGTGTGTAATTGACGTGAGTGTGTGAATTCAGTAATTAGTATTGTTTCAAGTATTTCCGCTGTCTATTTCCATTAGCGGGTAACGTGAGAGAGAAGAGGAGATGCTTTTCGATTTGGTTAACGTGAGAAAGTCGAGTAAAGAAAGAGATAGCTCTTCTATATCTTCTTTTACTTTTTTTTGCCAATTTCCCATCTCATCTTTAATTTTACTGCATGATTTTATGACGTCGTTTCATCATCGTCAATCAAATTTAATGTTCGTAAAAAAAAAAAAAAATTTAAAACTAAAATTTTAAGTACATTGAATTTGATATAAAAATATCTTTGAAAGATAATTTAAAATATTATATTCAGACTAAAAATTTAATGTGAGAAGACTTTTTCATTAATCAGAAATTATAGTAGATTTTTAGATCACTTATCAAAACAATTATTGACATTTAAAATTAAAATTTTATAAATAAAATATTCAAACTTGACAATTCAATCACCTAAGATAAATTAAAATATAAAACAGTAAAGTTACTGTTGAATGTGAAATTTAAAAGCAAAAGAAGCAGGAAAGAATGAAAGAGAGAGGAAAAAAGAACCTAAACAAAATTAGAAACGGAGGAGATTTTATTACATTCAGGAAAACAAAACATGCCAACAACAAGAGTCCTTTGGCTTCAAAGGGAGAGAAAGAAACAAAGAAAGCAAAGCAAACTAGCAAAGAACAAAGAAATAACATAAAAAAAAGGGCAAGTGGTAAGAGAGAGTTGTGGATGCTTTGTGCTATAAGCTACAACTCAAACTGGCCTCGTCTATGCTGTATTGGGCAGTCAGGTTTTCACAAGATCTTCTAACCTCGCTAACACCTTCCCTTACTACCTATACTTCCTTTTAGCTAGCTCACAACTTTCCTAGGTTATCCTTTTCTTTTTCTTTTATTTTTTTTCTCCAAAACCTCCTCCTTTGAATACTCAAGTCGACCTTTCACTCATTTGCTTGTTTTAGCTTTATATACAAAGACAAAGAGAGTTTTTAGCTTTGCAAAGTTATCTTGGTATTTTTTTTTTAGTCTTGAGAGAAGATGGTGATCATAATTTTTTAAGTTCTGTTTCTTGAAATATATATATGTTTTGATTTTGATCATAAACTGAGAAAGTTGTGAAAAGAGATGGAAAAAATGTGGGATCTTAATGACTCTCCTGATCAGCCAAGAGACGATGAATCCGAGGGGTGTTCATCACAGAAAACTTCCAACGATGGAGATGAAGATAAGGGGAAACGGGTCGGATCCGTGTCGAATTCAAGCTCGTCTGCTGTGGTGATCGAGGATGGATCGGAAGAAGAGGATGGGGAGAGAGTTCAAGCAGCTTTAAAGAAGAGACGCAGCAAGATTTTTGGGTTCTCAGTGCCTTATGAAGAAGAGTCCATGGGGAGCGACCCGGATCCTGTGACGCGGCAATTTTTCCCTCTTGATCAAGACCCGGAAATGGGTGCCACTTCTGGTGGAAGTGGATCAGGGTTCCCTCGGGCTCACTGGGTTGGTGTCAAATTCTGTCAATCGGAGTCTCTTGTCCCTGAAACAACTGTCGAAGCGTCACAGCCGATGAAGAAAAGCAGGAGAGGACCCAGGTCAAGAAGCTCTCAGTATAGAGGTGTTACTTTTTATAGAAGAACCGGCAGATGGGAGTCTCATATTTGGTTAGTTTCTAATTCTATCTCATTTCATCAAAACAAAGCCTTGAATTTTCCCTGTTCTTTTTTTTTTTTTAATTTTTCTATACTTGAACTTTTTTATTTTTTTTTTCTTTTTGAGCCAATCAGAATTTAAGGTGTTTTGGGTTTGTCATTTGACGTACAGGGATTGTGGAAAACAAGTTTATTTAGGTATGACTGTCTTTTTTATCTTTTACTTTTGAGACAAATTTTATATTTGCATTTTAATGTTTCTGATGTGTATGATATGGGCTTTTTTTTGCTTCTCTTTTTCTTTTTTTTTCCCTTGGCTGTGATTATATAGGTGGATTCGACACAGCACATGCAGCTGCCCGGTTAGCTATCTACTTAACCTCCTTCTTGCCATTTTCCGTAGGCAAAATGAACAAAGAAATGAACATGGCAGGGTTTAAGAAAATTTTCTTTCTTTGTTTCTGGCAGAGCATATGATAGGGCAGCTATCAAGTTCCGGGGAGTGGAGGCAGATATAAATTTTAGTATTGAAGATTATGAGGAAGACTTGAAGCAGGTGAGAATACTTGAGAAAGACAGGGAGAGAGAGAGAGATTGCATACTTTCTCTTATCAGGAATAGTTCTATCTTATCTTGTGCAGTTTTTTTTTTTTTAGCTGGTTGATATGCTTCTTTTTTTTTTTTTGCTTTATTTTGTTGCTGTGAAAATCACGTCGTTTACAAAAGGGAAGATTCTTTTTGTTGTGGAACAGATGAGTAACCTAACCAAGGAAGAATTTGTGCATGTACTTCGCCGACAAAGCACTGGATTTCCTAGGGGAAGCTCCAAATATAGAGGAGTAACCTTGCACAAGTGTGGAAGATGGGAAGCTAGAATGGGCCAATTTTTAGGCAAAAAGTAACAGTTTTTTGCCTTTTTTTTTTTTTTAAAATCCTATTCTTAGCAAATCCATTTCCCAACTTCCAACTATACCCTTTTGTTTTTCCTTCTGGTCTGTCCTCATTTCTTTATTTAGTTGAATTTGCTTTTACAGGTATGTTTATTTAGGCTTGTTTGACTCCGAGATTGAAGCGGCAAGGTGTGTGCTTTACATTTTTTTTTCTTTTAATCTTGATTTTTAAATTCGAAGTAAAAAAGAAAAAATTGATGCAAATCTGGAGGGATTTGATAGGTTTTGAATTCTCTGGCCCCTTTTTGTAGGGCTTATGACAGAGCAGCAATTAAGTCCAATGGCAAAGATGCTGTTACTAACTTTGATCCCAGCATATACGACAATGAGTTCAACTCTGGTGGTAAGTAAATTTGCCCATATCGTATATTATTTACAAATTTCTTTTCCAATCATTGTTCACTCTCTTAAAAGATTTTTCCTTAATTCCTCTACACTCTTATTGTTTAGAAACTTCAGGAAATGCTGGAGGTCACAACCTTGACTTGAGCTTGGGGAATTCAACCTCAAAGCAAAGTAATCCAGAATTTGGTGCTGATAGACAAAATGCTGTAGGTGATCAGCATAGTCTTCCACCTGAAGCTGATTGGCGATATCGGGGATTTAGGCCTAAGGTTGGTATAATTTCACACTATGATTAAAAAAAGAGTCCTACTTATACCATTTTCACTTTTTTTTTTATTTGTAGTTATTGATTTCATTTTATCGATTGTCTACCAGCTAATGAATATGCAGCAGAAACCTTGTAGAAGTGATGATCCTCACCGAAGATCTGATAGATATAGCGAGGCAGAAACAATGCAGTTGTTGAGCCAAACCCACATTCAGTCTCCAGCCTCAGTTAAGTCTAATGAAATGCAAAGATATGGACAGTTGAGAAGACCTGAAGAGAACCATATGTCTGGCATTCTTCCTCAACACGTTAACCCATCAACTTATCAGGTTTGTGTTTATGATTAGGCTGATAATTAGTAGTTGCTTGATTGGGGATTAAATATACCAGGAAAAAATCCAACTAACTAAACTTACTTTCTCACATTTTGTAATTTTCAGATTCATTTTCCAAGCAACAGCAATGGAATCCGAATTGGGAGTGATCTTTCACTGTCAACTAGTGATCGACAATGGCAACCGGGTCCTCACCAATTGTTTGCAAATACTGCAGCATCATCAGGATTCCCATCGCAGATTAGACCATCTCAAACTTGGCTGCAGAAAAATGGGTTCTACTAACTCATGAGACCCTCCTGACCCATCTAAAAAGTAGCCATATATCTTCTTCACTAACTAAAATCTCTCTCTGATCACCTGTTGGTTTTATATGCATGTAAAGATCAATGCTTTGAGATACTCTTTTTTTTTTCCTCTACAATTTTCTTAGAGAGCCAAAAGGAAAAATTACAAGAAAATATTGGAACAAGATAAAGAAAATTCCAACTCTCTTGGAGTTGTTGGGCATCGGTCAAACTAACAAAGAGACGAAGACGTTGAACTAGATATTCTGAGTTCCATGGTCTTTATACAGTTGATATTCTTGTACCCTTTTCTCAATTACTATTTTACTACTATATATATAAAAATGTAATTCTAGTTCATCATGGATCTCATATCTTTCCTGTTTAGCTCCACTCGTTTATATTGAAAAAATGGTTCTTTTCTTTTACCAGTACAATGCAAGCATATCTCTCCTTGTTTTTGACCCCTGAATGAAAAAAACTACAGATTCTGATACTTCAGTAAGTTTCTCTAATGGAGTAACACTGCATAATCTCTTATCCATAGATTTTGATGAAAGAAACCAAAAAACAAAAAGAAGGAAAATGTAGCAAAAAATTGTGAATCAAAAGGGAAAACAAAGCGAAAATCATGAATATAAAAACAAGGGAAATTGATTTAGTCTGGGAAATGTCAATGGAAGATGTTGAATAGTCACATCACTTGTTTCCTGTGAATCAGTTCTCTCGAAACAGAAGCAGTCGGACATGGGCTATAATGACGAGAAGGACCTATCATCATAACCCCCACTGCTTTTGAAGGACAGCTGTAAGAGAAAGAAACAGAGAGAAAAAGACCAAAAGGGTATATGGGTAAGTGTCCGCTTTGGGTTTAACCCCTCCTGTCAGTTTACAAGGAAAATGACTTTACCCCATGCCAGCCAATGAAAAAAAAAAGGACGGAAATGGAGATTTCGTTTCATTGGCTATGGCGTTTCGCACATCTCCAATGGATTTTTAAAGTCTATATAAAAACCTTCGACGACTGTACGAGGAAAAAGAGTTTGTGTTGCTTTAAACAAAGGTTGAAAATTCCCATCAATTTTATATTATTTTCCATGTGAACAAAAGTAGCAATGTTATTTGGTCAGTCCATTTAGTCCAATTGTGAATGATTAATGTCCTTTTGCATTAAGATATTGGCACTCATGAATAAAATAGGAATTGCAATTTCGTCATCAGGGGCGTCACTGTTCAATTTTTATTTTAGCAGTTTTGCAAATTGGACAGTTGGTTTTTTAAAAAATGGAAAATTTTCAGTAAGGAGGAAGGTCAAGGCCACCTTCTTCTGTCACATCATCACCATCTTGTAGAATTAAATATGCAGAGTTATTTTTTTCAAAAGGTCTCTCCTTATAGGGGGATCCATTCATGCATATCTCGTTCAAAATGAACTTGCTTTGGGATAAAAAAAAAATATGGATCGATATATGTATGTATATAGTCAAGCAAAGACTATAGGCAAATTTGTTGCAGAGCCAATAGCTGGATAAAGAAGCATTATAAGCATCACTTTTAGGCTGCATGTCAGGATCTTTATCACATTTTGCATGTGATGAACAGTGAGGCGCTGCTGCAAAAATGTCAATGGATCCATTGACGAACTCACGAGCAAAAGAATCCTCCCCTAAGCTCTTTAAAACCTTATTATTAAAGGTATAAACGATTAAGTTTAAGTTGATATAATATTAAATTTAAATTTAAATTTAATTTAAAATTTAAAATTCGATTTAAATTTGATCAAATTTTATTTTTTTAATTCAAGTTCGACACATAATAAATATTAAATTATTCAAATTTATTTAATTAAATTCGATTAATATATAAATAAATATATAAAATAGTTCAAGTATTATATTTGATGAAAATTCGATTATTTGTACTCAAGTTTGAAATATTTTATTAATTAAAATATATTAAAATATAAAATCTCTATTAGATTAATGAATTACTTAAATTAGGTACAAAATACTCGAATTTGACTCAATTGATAAGTAAAATTACTTGAGTTCAAACTCGATTCAATAATAATCAAATTAAATTTAAATTTTATTTGAATCAAATTCGAATAACTTAAAAATATTAATATATTATTTACACCCTTACTTGCTACTTTCTTTTTTTTTTTAGGTAAATCCTTAATTACCATTTCCTTTTTTTTTTTTACGTTCCTTTCTATATCAATATGTAGCCAAGTAAAACATTATCAAATATGATCAGGTATGTTAATAAAATTAATTTTAATGATGTAATGTTATCGGATGAATAAATCTACAACTAATGTAATAAGAAAGATTTATCTAATAATTTTTTTTGTAATGACAATAATAGCATCACGAGGCAAGAATGTAATTATTTTTATATAAATATTAAAATTTAAAATTTTGATTCATTAAATATTATTCTTTTAAAATAATTGTATAAATTCGATAAATTAAATTTAAGATTAAAAAAGCTAATCATTTTAGATTAGGATTCGGTGATCTAAATTAAAATTATAGTGGTACCACGAAAACCCCAAATTAAGGCAAAAATTTCCATACAAACTATAAAAAAAAGGTAAAATATGAATGAAATCTGAGTTAATGGAGGGTGTAAGGATAGATTGCACGCGCCATGGTAAAGAGTGGATGAAACCTCAAGGTAAATACGAAAGTGTCTCTTCTTGTTAGATCCTTTTCATTTGCATCGGATCTACGGAACACTGCCAAATCCTCAGGCTGACAGGTTTATCTCTTTTTTTCTTTTCCTTATTTTTTCACCGTCACAAAATTCATGGTTTTTTTTAAGTTTTTAATATAAAATTTTTAAAATAAATAATTTTTTATTATATTAAATAAAATTAATTAATTATTTAATGTAATTAATTTTAAAAATTAATATTTTATGAATTAAATTTCAATTCTTTTAAAACTTTTTTCTATTTTTAAATCGTAATTGATTTTTAGAAAATAGATAAGAATTAAATAAATATATATTACAAAATAAATTAAAATTAAAAAAAAATTTGTGGTCCAAAGAAAACAGCTACAGGGAATCAAACGAGTGAAGTAAAAAGCGAAGGGTTTTGCTGTGAGGTTTACTTTTTTTGCCATTTAAAGTTGTGGCCTTCCATTTATGGGATTTCTTCAACGGCTGGAATTTCTTCTGCTGTCTTTCTCGCAAAAAAGTCATCAAATTAAATATTATATATAAAATCAATCAGACAACCTTTTTTCTTAAAAAAAATTTGATTTTCTTCTTTCCTTTCCTTCATTATTGTTTTTTGTGTGGCTGATGAACGTGACGGTGATTGCGACTGGGACTTGACTGTGCAGGCATTGGTCCCTGTTTGGACTTTTTTAAAAACTAGGGACAAAAAAAAGAAACAACAATCTTGGTGCCGTTAAGTGTTAGATCGCTTTCACCATTCACTCAGACAAACAACTCCTCTGGGTTTCACTTTATAGTAATTGGCTTTACCCATCTTGCCATTACTCTCTCTCTCTCTCTCTCCCTCCTTTCAGTCACTTTCTATTTTTGGAATTCTATTTTGGGTTTGTTATATACACACACCTATTTTGGCCTATTTGTCATGGTATTACTTTTGGATTGATATAAAAATTTACATATTTTATTATATAAAATATTAAATTTTATGTATTTATATTATATTTTATAAAAAATTATATATAGTAGACATAAAAATATAAAATATATTTTTTAATTTTATTAAAATTATATATAATTATTATTAAAATTTTAAATTATTTAATTTTTATGTTTTATTTTTGTATTATATTTATATTATAACATCATATTATATTTTAAAATTTTAAATTTACTTAAATAAATTTTTTATATAAAAATAAGGTACTTTTAAAATAAGGAAAAAGATGATAAGAGTTGAAAATTTATTAGTTATAAATTTGAACATCATTTTTTAAAATAATTATATAAATTAATTGAATTAGATTTAAAAATTTTTTGTAATTATTCCATATTTGTCTTAAGGAATTATCACTTTCCCTAGTAAGAAATTGGATAGATAATTGACGAAAGAGAAATCATTATAAAATTTGAGATTTGAAGTATAAATTTATTAAATTAAAAAAAATCAATAAGTCTTAAATTTCTTTTTAATTATTCAACATTTGTCTTAAAGTAAATCTATTTCTCTAATGGATGATTGGACAGGTGGTTGGTTCTTATTGGTTTTTTTTTCCTTGGTTAAGTATCTGGTTAAGCCAGGCTGAGGCTGAGAGATAAGAGCGTGGCTGTCATGGATTGGACGATGAAATAACGTTGGCAAAGCATTTTCTTCCCCTAACTTTGGCCTTTTTGCTTGTTGCTATGAGAATCTGGATTTGACTTCGTACTTTCCATCTGCTGTCTTCAACCTTAAAAACCCTTTTTTTTTTTAATTTTCAAATATAATAAAATCATAAACATAATTGAATATCTTCCCTTAATTTTGATGTAATTATATATTTATTAATTATATCTAGCAACATTTCATAATAAACATATAGTTGTGAACTGTTATATGGAGTATGTTATAAATTTTTTAATTTAAATTTAATTATACTACTATTTTTAAATAAAATTCCATACAACATGTATTAAATTAAAATCGAATTCAACTCATGAATTTAATTAGTTTTATATACTAGCAATTCTGATTTAAAAATTAGGTTAGAAGATTTTAATTTTTTAGTTATGCTTTAAAAGATATTTTCTAATAATAATTTATATAAATTGTTTTTGGTAATTGCAATTTGCCAAGAAAAATTACAGCATTCAATCTAGGTTTCTATATTATTCTGAGCAATAATATTAATCTGTCACAATATGGGTGGTAAAACTGCTAAATAATTAATGATTTATTTTCTTTAGTATATGAAAATTTAGAAAATTTATACAGCTCATTCTTCAATTAGTACATCAAGAATTGGCCTCAATCATAAATTGTCATAGTTTTTATTGTGTAAGATTATTAGTTTGCATTATAATTTTTTTAATAATAGATTTAAGTGCTTTATCAAATTTTAGTCTAATAAGGGATGGTGGGGTTTTGATATACGTTCCAGTTTTATGTACATGAATTTTTGAAACTGTCAAAGAAAGTGGACATACCTCATGCTATTCTAACAAGATATGTCATCAAAATTCATGAAAATGAAAACTCTTCCCTTTTTTTTTTGAAAAAATTAATTTGATTTAAATAAATCTAACAAACAGAAATGGAATTATGACGTATTTAAATATAATGCATGATAATGATGAATGTGTGTCGTAGAACGCTACATGCATTAATAAGTGTTTCTGAGATCTTTGTAACGAAAAGCATTCATATTAGCACACTTGAAATGAGTTAAAAAGATTTTAGCACTATTGTACAAGTAAACTCAAATTGCTATTAAAAATATAATTTAGATTTACTTATTTCAACATTCTTTAAGTGATAATCCTGTGTTATCGTATCTTCGAGTTTAATATTATCAATCATAATTTATAATTTTGAATATTATAAAATTGTCATTATTTGATATTTTATTCTTCTTCATTCATTCATGATCGCATATTTGCTGTTGATAATTAATTTAATCTTACATTTTCGCATTAGAACAAGAAATTCAATCCCATTGTTTTAGTTGGTTTGGCGTGAATCCATCCATTAATTTTAGACTTTATTTAAAAGGATTCAATCATAAATTGACATTCATAATTTATTACGTGTTTAAAAGGACCTTAGCTTACCGTGTTTTTAATATTTTTTTTATGGATATTGGTTCAAAGCAAGAGAAGATAAATTTTTTGTAAGGAGTTTTCCTTGGTTAAAACCGTGTCAATTTTTTCTTTCTACAATGAGAAAGCATTTCGATGATTGCTTTAAAGGAAAAAGAAAGAAAATTTCATGACATCTTCATAAATAATAAAGCACAATCATGTTATATTATACTATCATTTATAGTATTTAAAACAAACAGCTAAGCTGGATTTAATGTGATGGGGATGTGACAGCTTTTTGTTGATAATTATCATGGTGCTATGTCAAAATTGTCTAACCCCCATGCAGAAAATGATGATTTCCGCTTTGGGGACGAAGAAAGCTTTGCCAAGAGTTTCTAATTTAGGAAAGAAAGACTTTGCTTTATTTCCCAATGGGTTGTTTTTCAGTTTTCACTAAAAAGGGTGAGTAATAATCGTGGCTATGTCAAAAGCAGCAGCAGCAGCCTAAAGAAAACAGAAAATTTAGAAATGCTTTTTCTAAGATAATCAAATGGTTAATCCGTTAATCCTTGATTAGGGTTTCTTGATTTTGACTTAAGCATCGTCGCTTGTTATGGGATTTGGAATGAAACCTTTTCCTAAATAGAGGAATCTTTTAGTGATCAAAGCAAAGTTTATGAGCCTTCACTCACTTTCTAAATATAGATTTTGTTCATTTATTAAGCTAAGCATTGACTACGACTCATCAGTCATGTTCAAGCTCCAGGAACCAGTTTCCTTGAAGTTTTGAAAGACCCAAAAATGAAAGACAAGTTGCATAAGAAATGGATTTATCTCAATTCATGCAGTTTTTTTATGAAATGATGGGTGGGAAGTTTTTGCATGTCCAACTAGGAATACAAATTTTATCCAAATTTGACGTGAAATTCAAATTTTTTTTTACTCAATGGATATGGATATTAAATTTTGTGGATAAAAATAAAGATAAATATGATTTTAAAATAATTGCTACAAGAATGAAAATAAATAATATAGCATATGCGTTGTATCCGATATATATATAAAATTAAACAGATTTTAATTATGATTTTAGCATTTTAAACGTTTTAGGATTTGGGGATTTTAATGTGAGTATTATTTGTAAGTTTTCATTTTATTTAAAATTTCTTAATATAAGTATTGTATTTGTTTTAATGTGTATATTGTTTGTAAATTTTTACTTTTTAGCAAATATTAAATATTTTAATTTTTTAAAAATATCACGAATAACGGAGACTTTTATATCCGTTAAATTTCCATGGGATGAGAATAAATAAAATTTTTTTACCCAAAACGGGTACTAATACAAGAATAAAGATATTTATAGAAAAGAGAACGTGAATGAGAAATGCTCTACTCGCCTTTCAAAAAAATTAGTGGGCTGAATCTGTAAGCCCGAAAGTAATCATTCTTTGGGTTCACAAAAATTTTCTATTGAGACTTTATTAGGCCCATGGACTTGAAGTCTTTAACTCATTTGGACCTTTAGTGCAATTCCCTCGAAACCAACAAAAATAATTACTAAAAATTTTGGCCTCTTGGGTGCTCGTATTGGTCCAGTAACCTTGAGTTGTTTTAGATTGGGCCTTTGCATTGGTAAACGAAAATGAAACTGAAAATGGAAATGGAAACAAAAAAGGGAAGGAAAAAAAATGAAGTAGAAAGCACCAACAGTGCCGGATATGAAGCAGCAACGATTGGAAGTTTCCTTCCTCTGCTCCATTTTTTCAAAGCAAAAAAAAAAAGTGGGTTTTTTTCAATGTTCGAGAATGTTAAACTTCTTTTTTTGTTACTTTTCGTAAAGAGAACAAGCAGAGGTTTGGTAACAGAGTTAAATACAGCATTCAACGAAGGAAGTAGTGGGGACGAGGAGGACGACAATGTCCTTGCAAAACTCTGCTGAGAATCAGTGATCAAAGTACCGTGTGCACTGCATATATAGAAACCCCACAAACAGAAACTGTCGGTAGATTTTACATCTATACCCTTGTTTTGTTGTTTTCTTATTTCCAACCTTCTTCTTATGATGCAGTTATTTTTGGTTATCCTTCGTGTACGATTGAAGAGAAAGATTCAATCAATAACCGAATTCTAGAAAATCGATTGTTTTACTGTAAAAAAAACTTTGGCATTCTATTTACAGATTCATAAGTGAAACCTCGATTTTCTACGGAATACTTAAAACATTTGAGTTGAGCACGCCTTTCAATAATTGTGGGAACAATGTAAAATTGTGTGTGACTTTCCCGGAATTTGGTGAATTGAACAATTTGCTCACCGGAATAAATTTTTTCCATAGTGATATTCTTTAATAAAAAGTAAAAAACGAACCAGGAAACGAAAAAGGAAAACGAAAAAAGAGCAAGCATGAAAAAGATAAAAGTACAAATACGCACCTAGAAATGAAGAAGAAGAGCAGAGGAATCCGGAGCATCTTCCGTGGTCAAGAAGCAGAGAACTGGAACGTGGTGATGAAAACGCCATGACTTGCGACGATCACACAGATTACTAATTTGCTGGTTCTTTCAGAGGGAAACAAAGATCCAATGCAGGCCCATGTTCTAAAATCCAAATGCTTCGTACTACATATAAACAACGGGCGCAAATAGTACCTGCCCAGTTGGGCCCAAGTGTAGTTATTACATTGAAAAAAATTAGATTAAATTTCTCAAAGTTATTTTATAAAGGTTAAAATACTAAATAGCTCCTATAAAGTTATTTTTGTTTAATTAAGCTCTTATTTTGGATGAAAATCACTAAAATTTTTTAAAATAGGGGTTTTATTAAATAAAATAAAATAATGTTTTAAGGGTTTAATTGGATAAAAATAATATTTTAAGAGCTTAATTAGATAAAAATAATACTAAGAAAAGATTTTTTTTTAATATTTTAGCCGTTTATAATGACTATGATGATGATGGACATAATATAGCAGTAGTTTATATTTTCCTTTCACTTAATTTTTCTTTTGTTTAGATTATTTATTTCTTAAGTTTGATTAATGTTAACAGGTGGAAAATAAAAATAATGTAATATAAGATTCTTTTTTGTTTAGCAATCAAGGAATTAAATGAGGAGATTAATCAGGTTCATTGGGAAGTAAATTGGTGTGTTTTGATATCTTTTCTCCTCCACAAACAGATCCCCATTAGCAATTAATTAATTCAGTTATAAAATTTAGGTTTAATTGAGAAACTGAAACCTTCATAAAATGAACAAGAAACTGAAATAAAAAAGTATTTAAACAAAATAGATTCCAAAAAGGCATAGATGATAATATCCTATAAAAACCAAGCAATGTTGCAATTACAATTTCATATAGTTGGGAAGTTTTACAGTAATTGTTATGGCAAGCATCCGCTTCGTTTCCTCGAGTATCATCCAGGCTGAAAGCTCCGGGAAAGAAACTGACAGGATTGAGCTAACTCCATGGGATCTTCAACACCTTTTAGTAGGCTACCTACAGGGGGGATTGCTTTTCCATAAGCCTAAACCGCAAGAGGAACGACAGAAGGCCTTGATCCACCACTTGGAAACCTCTCTTTCACGTACGCTAGACTTCTTTTCCCCGCTTGCTGGTCGCATTGCCATCATTGAACATGAAGATAAAACCACTTCTTTTTTCATTGACTGCAACAACGCTGGAGCCTTATTTGTCCATGCTGTAGCTGAGAAAGTAACCATTTCTGATCTCATTGAACCCGTCTATGTTCCTGAAACTTTTGACTCTTTTTTCCAATTGGATGGGATTAAGAATATAGAGGGTACTTTGAAGCCATTGCTTGCAGTTCAAGTAACTGAGCTTGTGGATGGTATCTTCATTGCCTGCAGCATCAACCATTCTGTTGTTGATGGTGCTTCGTTTTGGCTTTTTTTTAATTGTTGGTCAGAAATTTCTCGTGGTTCTGATCATTTACCTAAACCTCCCATATTTCGACGACCGCTTCTTGATAGTACAAATTATCCCATTCGCATTCCTCTAATAAAAGAGCAAGTTAAAGATCAGTTCATTCCACCACCATTGCAAGTAAAAAAATTCTATTTCACTAAACAGAACATTGTGAAAATCAAAACAAAAGCTAATGCTGAGATGAACACTAACAAGATTTCCTCTCTTCAAGCACTCTTGTCACTTTTTTGGTTGTCCATTATGCGCAATAGGCACCTTGATCCCAATCAAGAGACCACCATTTTTATAGTAATTGGTCTTAGACAAAAATTGAAGCAGCTGCCAGAACAATATTTTGGAAACGCAATTCAGAGTGCAATGGTAACTTTGAAAGCAGGGGAGCTGGTCGAGAAAGGGCTTGGAAACGCAGCATGGCAAATAAACAAGATTGTTACCAATCACACACAGGAAAAATTCATGAACTTTTTGGAGTCTTGGGCAAAGAGTCCTAGGCTATACCAAACAGGTCAAATGATGGATAATGCTTTGTTAACAGCCAATTCACCAAGGTTCGATATTTATGGCAATGATCTTGGGTGGGGAAGACCGATTGCAGCGGATCATGGGGCAGGGAGCAGGCTTAGTGGGATGTTGGTAGCGTCTCGTGGAGTGGAAGAAGGAAGTATTGAGATTAAAATTTGCCTCTCGCCTGAGACATTTCAGGCCATGGAAAATGATGAAGAGTTCATGGCTGCATTAACCATATGATATCGGTCCTCCACTGTTATTTTTAATCACCTAATGCTCCTAGGCTAATTAAATCGTTGGTAATTTCCTCAATCATTGATACCAAGGGCTAGCTTGCTCTTCTAATTCGATGAAAAATCACAGTTTCTTTTGTTTTTTGGTTTTTTTGCCATTTTTTTTTTTTATGTTTCATTTGAATGATCAATGAAAAATAGTTCTCATCACATCACCTTTTTGAGATTAAATTATTGCATTTCACAAGATTTTGAAAATCCAATAAAAAATGTAAATTACACAGCTCATTTGCTTGCTTAACACTTACATTCAGCTCATTTCTGTCACGAAGATTGTGAACGATTCATGTTTTTACTAAGGAATTTGAGGATTTCTTGTTTTAAAGATTAAACATAGAATGGAAGCAGAGTGAACTAGGCATGAATGACAGCAAAATCAAGATTCAATTGTGGATTCTAATGCACACTACATTTTCCTGAAATAACTTAGATCAAGTTTCAAATCATTTTGTCCCAAAGTCAGAAGCTGACATCCCCCTTTAGAAATAGTGTTTTATGTGAAGAAAACCGATTTTCAGTTGCCAAATCTGACCTAGCCTTGCCATCCGTCAAACTTTTACCACACCATTGAATACTTGGGCGTAAAACTTGAACGCTCATGTAGAAAATTAGAATCCTACTAGAAACCCAATGAAGATTTTGAGTAGAATGAAATCCCTTTCTACCATGTTTGATAAAACTACTTTAAACATATCACAAAATAATTCATCAGAAGAAGTTTGATCTTAGGTCATGTTTAGTGCATGGAATAATAAATAAGATAACATGATAATTATTTTATATTATATTTGATTTATATCTAATTGAAAGGGATATGATTACAAGAAGAATTATTATTCTTTTGGTATAAAATAATTCAATCCTTTCAAAGTGGAGAGGATTATTGTTAATTTATGAGATTAAACTTATATGTTTTGTTATACTTTTTAAATTATATCAATAATTTAAATTATATAAATTTTGAGAAAGAATTATTGTGATCAATGAATAAATTATCTTGCATACATCAAATATATATTATTTAATTTAATTATATTTATAATATCATCTTATCCATCAAATATGACATTAAGATTTTGAAGGCAACTTTCAATATATTGAATCAATAAGTTTCAAAATCCCTTTAACATATACTTTTTTTTTTATCTTTAATTTAACTTTATGCATTGTAATTTAGGAGAAATTAATTATATTATTATTTGTAAGTTATTGTACCATAATCATTATCACAAATCTTTAAAAATAATAAATTTGTCATTAATATAAAATCACTCATATATACTTAAAGAAAATAAATTAACTTTCTTCTTTTCTAAATAATATTTCAATCTTCTATCAAGTGCTAAAAGTGTTGTTTTTTTAGTTTATTGTACTTATTCTTTTATAATTTTGTGACCATTTTCAAAAATTTTTTTATAAAATTTTAAATGAACTATGTTAACTGTTTGAAAATTTCATTTTACTTGAAATACTTGTGCTCTACACATACACAATAAATGTGGGTATGTAAGTTGGAAAATCCAAATATATGAAAAAATTTTGAAAACATAGCACATCTGTATTTGACACTCATTCTAGATTTAAATAATATAATAAATGAAAAAATTATATAATTTTAATTGACTCCTTCAAAATCAAATAATAATTGAAATATTATTTGAAATACCCATAACATGTACAGGCAGCGTTTGTAAAAGCAATCGCAAGAATAAGCTCCTTAAACAACATGTAACAAGGTAACAACTCCAACATTTAATGGCGAACCTTGTGGTTTTGTTTGAAGTTTGAAGAGCTAGTTGGATGGGAAGCAAACAAATGAAACAGTCAAAGGAAACTCCTGTCCCCCATACATTGATTGATTCTAGTAAGCAAACTAATGAAACAGCCCATTTTTTGCAATATGACGGTAACTCCATAGGACGATGCTTTGAGATTAGACGCTGATGACCAAAATTCAGTATCTCAAGTGATTTCTGAAGAATAAACTTTCTGGAAAAAGGGAAATCCATATATAAGTTATCTTTAAACGAGGAAAGCTACCTGCAATGGCAGACAAAGATTCATCTGTGATAAATGTACCACTAACATTCAGGTGTTGCAAGAGATTGACTCTTGTTATCTGTTTAGAAAATCGATTGGGAACCAGAAAAAGGAAAATGAAAAATCAAGTACATTGAGAAAAAGCAAGAAATACATTCAAGTTAAGGACATTCAGTAATTGATGAGGCAAAAAGGTATCACATACCAGTTGAACAACATCTTTGTCAGTGATCCCTGTCATACCCCAAAGGGAAATAGATGTCAAGTTAAGAATACACTTTGCGAATGAGATTTGGTATAGTCCATTGTCAGTTATTTGGTAACCCCAATGACTCCTTTAACTGTAATTATAATAAGAATTAGTACAAGATAATGACTACCATGTCTATCAAAATCAAGATTGAGAATTCTGATATAGAAATGACTCCAATGCCACCCCTAGGAGTGATAACTGTTGTGTTCTAGAAAATATTTTTATTTTCATGGTCCAAACAGAAGTTCATAACATCAATTGTTGAATGGGCTCTAAAGCATTCAGGAGTTGAATAAGGATGAGACATTTTGCAAAATTTTAGCAATGCTGGCTACGCTAAAACAGATCTTCATCCCCCAAGGTAAAGCCCTAAAGGTAATAACCAATTACCATTGGAGGCCAGGAAAAAAATAGTCTGGACACGGAGGAAGGATTATTCAAGCCTCAATTCTAAAGATTTGCCGCCTTTGCTCCACAATAGCTCTTGGTTAACAAGACATCTGCAGATGACAGTGTTTAGGGGATTATTGATATCTTATTTGAAGAAGGTGCTTTTCCTGCCGGCCCTGGCAGTTAGGGCTTGTTTTGACTGAAACAGTCTGTTTGCCTAACAACAAAAATTTTTATGGTCTATTGCTTAACTATAATGATGGCATATGTTGTAGGAAACTGTACCTATCAGAGTTAGGTTTTATATTGAAAGTGACAATGGTTCAAATTTTCCTGACATGATGCTTAATTTGCCAAGCAATAGCTTGATGGCTCCCTGATAACAACCGGGTAGATTTTCTATAGTTTATGCAATAACATGGGAATCTTAACAAAAATAAAATCAACGAATATTCAGTCATTGAATGTCGGTAGAGATCCCAGTCTCTTCGAAAATGATTCCTCTGATCATGCACGGATGAGAAAACCATCCTATGCAAATTAAGTGCTTTGCAAATAGTAATTTTATAACAAAAATGCTTTGCAAATAGTCTTCTTATGTTATAACATAGAACATTGTGGTCTTTGAGAATAGTTACACAGAATCCATAAAAACATCAAAATAGCAGCAATGAACAGCTTGCTATTAGTATTAACGAAGGAGTGAAGGCAGATAAACTTGGTTTTGTGGCACCCTTGTGTTGCTAGCAACTGCCCAGGCCAGCTTAGATTGATCAGCTAATGCGGCGACAAAGAGTAATCCCATCACCAACAGGAAGTTGGCAGATCTCAATCCTTGGATCAGCAGCCAGGGCTCTGTTGAGCTCCAAGACAAAATCCCTATAATACAACACATATTTCCTTAATGGTGCATCAGGAGGTGCCACCACAGACCCGTTCCATAGGGTGTTGTCGTAGCCAATGACTCCCCCAACCTTCACTAGCTCAATAAGCCTCTTGTGGTAATTAAGATAGTTGTCCTTGTCAGCATCAACAAAGATGAAGTCAAATGTTCCATGATATTTTCCCTGCAATTTATACATTACAAATATTAACTTAAGTGTCAAGTAATCAAATTTAGTTATGTTTGAGAATGGATTCTTGGAGGATTTTATACTTACAGCTTCAATCATTTGATCAAGAACAGGAAGAGCAGGCCCTTCTTTGAAGTCAATCTTGTGAGCAACCCCAGCTTCTTGGATGACTGGTAGACCCAGTTTATAATTTTCGCGGTTGATGTCCATGGCCAATATCTGAAACATTCAATTAAGCAGATATGATTTCCTTTTTGTTTGTTACTCTATCCAAGAAAACCACAAGAAAATTAAAGAAGGCAAATAAAATCTCTTGAAGGACCGACTATAATTAGTTGGCTGAGATGCATAGCATCTGTTTTCTTTTATTTGATGCATAACTATGTTTTAGTTACCTTGCCATCATCTGGCAGAGCAAGGGCAGTAGCAAGGAGAGAATAGCCAGTATAAACACCAATTTCCATGGTGTTCTTGGCATTTATAAGCTTCAGCAACATGTTTAAAAATTGCCCTTCATCAGCAGATGTAGTCATGAGATTCCTGTTTTGTCAGGGGAAACAAAAATCAGTTGACTCAAATTGCATTTCACCATCTCCAAGCCATAAAGATAGGGTAAATAAGATTCAGGCCTAAAAATCTCACCATGGATGTTTTGCTGTTAGTTCCCGGAGCTGTTTCATGGATTCAGGCTCTCTCGGATAAACACTAGTTTCCAGTATATACTGCCAGAAACAAAAAGAAATGTAAAACAAGGATGGATAGCACATTGAATTGTAAAATTCAATACAAGAAAAAGACAAATAAAGTCTTCACATTTCTTTGAAGTAGAGATAATTACTTGGTAAAGCTTGTCACTCTGTAAGAGACTCTTGTGGCCAACTTCCTGGTGCCTACCAGCTTGGTTTTGCTGTCCTTCCTGTGTGGGAGCCATTATATTGATAATCTCTCTAGTTTTTTCCTGTTGTTGCTGCAATTTTTCTGTTGCTGCTGATTGAAGCTCAAGGAGAAGCTTTATTTATAGTATAAAACTTGGACAATCCAACACGTGCGAGTAGTGGGAGGGGGGTTGGTGAAACATGTTGCCTGAAAACAGCCATCAGGCAGGCAGGACCCACTAACCAACCCCCAACCTTCTTGACTTCTTTTATATAATGCCACCCACCCAAGCCCAAGTTCCTCTCAATAATAGAATAGATGTCTCCTTTCTCGATTAAACAATAATTTATATACAATTTGTTTAAATTTAATTGCAAACCCTTTAAACATTTAAGGAAAAAATTTACTTGCAGTATATTAATTTTTACAGCATGAAGAGAAACAGAAACAGAAACGAAATAGTATCAACAAGTTGCTGGTTGAATCATGTTGAAATTAATTTCAAAAGTCCATATTTCGGATTCAAATTCTAATCATAATAAAAAGCTTAATAAAATAAATAATAGATCTTAATATTTCATCCAAGAAACGATTAGTTCATGAAATATAATAGAATAGTCAACTGAAGCCGAATTAGGTCATACCAACCCTGGCAATTAACAACATAATCCCAGCCTCTGCCTCGTCCAGGTTGCTTCCTAGCTTAGTTCCAGTTCCAGTTGCAAATTTCTGACCATCGAATCGTTGTAAATTGTAATCGCACCAAGCTTCAAAATATTTCGCCCTACACCAAACAATTCAACGTTTAAATTTGTATAGTATTGTATAATAATATACGTGGATTTGTCCTGAAGGAGCATATGGAAATTGGAGCAATATGAAAAGCAAAATCAGATTAGAATTGGAAGCCATGCGTTACATTGTGTAAATTGAGCTAAAATATTTGTCCAACTTCATTAACTTTGTCCTTTAAGCATTATCAAGCGATTCTTCTTTGTCACGTAATATAGTAATTACAGGCGTTTCCTACAGTTCCATTATGTATAATTTTCTCTTTTGTTTTGTTTCTCCAGACTCTTCCCTTTGAAGATGTGACGGTGAGTTCCTATAACCAAATATGTATATATATTTCCCAGCAGTGGTTGAAAGGATAAAAGTCAAAAAATTAAGTACAACAAATATTATACAAATCTTGAAACAATCATTCTATTAATAAAATAAAATTATATATAATATTATATTACAACATATTTAAAATATGATAACGTATAGTTATATAGACGCTTAAGTAAATAGTTTCTCTCATAGAAAAGTCCTTCAAATTTTTTTTTTTTAATAATGGCATGTAAAATATTTCCTAATTCTAAGATATTTATAAGCATATATATATATATATTTAAAAATTATTTAATTATCCAAAATTTCAAATTTAAATGGAAGACCAATTCAATTATTTTTAAGTTATTAGAAATAAAATCTAATTTAAATATATTGTTTTTAAAAAAAATGCATTTCCAAATAATCTAAATATATTTTTTTCAATTAAAATTTTCAAATATGGTGTTAAATTATCTTTTAAAATAAGTTTCCTAATAATATAAATGATATCTTTTTAAACCTTAAAAATCTCAAATGTAGTGATATTATAAAGTAGATTTTTTAATAATTTAAATAAATGTCATTTTAAATTTGAAATTTTAAAAATAAATTTTATTTAAGATTTCATTATAATTATTTATTATTTGATTATTTTTTAATTTAAAAAATATTAAATATCACATACATTAGAATATCATAATTTATTCTTTAATGATATTCTCAACATTAATTCTATTTCACTATTTCTTTAACTTTTATACTTGCAAATAAATAGTTTTTTAACTTGTGAGATGTACTAAATTTTTTATTATATTTTTAAATCTTTATATGATATGTACAATTTTTTATTATATTTTTATAATATGTGCATCTGCGTGTTAAAAAGTTAAAATTAATTTTTTTTATTTTTGAAATTTTTATTAAAACTTTGAATGTTTTTTTTTGTTAAAGAGTATATGCATAGATCTTATAGAAATTTTTGACAATGTATGGATATCGGAGCGAAGGAAGAAGATTGATGTAGCACAATAATGATTCTTCTGAAATATTTGACAATTGAAGGTAAAACATATTGATTTAATTGTTTAGGGCATTCTTTGTTGGTTTTATTTATTTATTTAGAAAAGATTATATAGGCTTATTTTTAATTGTTCATTTTGTTACGTTTTTCTTTTATTTGTTTTTAAATAAAAATTATTTTAACATAATTGCTTTATATAAAAGTAAAATCATGTATATTTATTTGAAATTAATTTTTTATAATTTAATTATTTTATTGTATTTTTTATTTTTTTAAAAGCAAAACGTAAGTAATAAAAGCAAAAAGTAAATTTGTTTACTTTTAAAATTGATTATAAAATCTTGTGAATGAGAATTGACACATTCTCTTCGAAACATTTTTACAAAAAAATTTTAAAAAATTGTTTAAAATTTAATACTATTATTTAAAATTTAAAATTATTTTATTTTAGGACATCAATTTTACTTATATCTAATGGAGAACCTAACTTTTTACCTGAATGAAAATAGAGATAAGTATTATATTGTGGGTATTAAAATGGATAATATAACACCAACCTCGTACTTATACCATACATATATATATTTATATATATTTAGTAAATAATTTTTTTATTAAATAATATAAATTATTATGTTAGATTAATTAGAATTAATATATTTTTATTGAAAAAATATATATTAATATATATATTTTTATAAAAAATTGCTTAAATATATAAGATAAAATTAAAAAAGTTTAAAAAATAAATTTTGGTTTTTTTTTAAAGCTATGAGTATAGGAATTATCCATACCAATTAAATATTCGTGGGAATAGAGATAAGAATAAATTTAAAATACTCATTGAATATGAATATGAGAATGAATATAATATAAAAATTAAAAATGAGGATGATGAATGCTCTACTCTCACCATAGCTTACTCATTGACATTCCTATTTTATTTTAGCTTTTACATTAACATAATTTTACATCAAATATAAAATTTAAAACAAGTACAAAAGTTAATTTGGTAGATCTTATAGATGTTGAAATCAAATATTACTAAAACCCATGCAGAAATGTATATACCAGTAAGCTATCATACATATTATTTAAACATTTCAAATCATTTTTTTCTAGATAAATAAAACTCATCGTAAAATTATATAAACCTATAAGTGTATAAAAATGATTGCACATGATAAAAATGGCACAAATTGAAGAAAGTTAATTTGAAATAATGAAAATTTTGTTTTCAATTAAATATTTTATTGGTGTACTCAGTAATACTATTTATATATAAATCTTTTGGATATTAATTTTTTCGAATATTATTATATGTTTTGAATTTTTAAATTTTTTAAATAAAATTTTAATTTTATTATGTTGATTATATTATTTATAGTATATATATATATATATTAGACATCTAAGTGATTAAATAATATTAATTTATATATATCTAAACACATTTAAATAAATAAAAATAATTCATGCATTATACAGATAACAAGCTAATATTATATATTTAAGCTTTAATCAATATAAAACATCCTTATGAAAGTTCATACTATAAGAGTGAGAGTGACAAAAGGTTAAAAAACCCCATGAGTCAAATCTCCAAGCATTTTACATTATCTTCCTCAAAGCCTCTCAGAGAATTAATGTAAAAGCAAGGATGAAAGTTGGTGGCTAAATACTCAATTTGAAATTAAATGCTTGAGTGATTACTCAATTTAGGACTAAATATTTTAATTTGTATAAATAATGATTAAACTTTATTGACTTCTAATAATATAGGATTTATTTCAATGAAAACTATGCCATGAATGATATGCATAGTAACAACGCATGAAAAAAATTAAAAGTTAGTTGATTTGATACTTTAATGTTGATTGTATTTTTTTTTAGTATTCGATAAAAAATATTATTAAATCAAAAGTTATTAACAAAAAAAAAATCCAAAAATAAACCTTTCACTCTTTCTTTTTACTTTTGTAATTCACACTATGACTGCAAGAGATGCTTCTCTCATATCCATCAACTTCTCTTTTTCTTTTATTCTAAATTATCTCCTGAAATAAACCTTCTTACCCTTAACAATTTTACCCATTAAAACAAATAAATTCTCAAATTTTCAAAATTTTTCTTTGCTTCACTTCTTTGCAAATGTCAAACTAATTGAGTTACCCATGAAAACTTAGTTTCTTTCTCGATTCTATGATGTTTTCTCGCTTGAACCCTTCATTTTTGTGTTTTGTGTAGTACCTACTTCCTAAAGGTTTCTTGATGTTTTTTTTTTTTTTCTATCATTTGGATTTTCTTCATTTTTTTTCTTAATCCAAGTATTCTAACCTTTATTTTTGCGAATTTCCTTTTGGGTTTTTAGTTTTTAGTTCTAAATTTATGGGTATTTTTTATTTTTATCAGTTTGGTAATTTTTATTTATTTTAGTTTAGTTTAAGTGTTTTAAAGAAATTAACTTCAAAATTTTTTAAGAAAGCTTAAAACCTTTTTACTCTTTTGTGACTCTTTTAGGTATTCTTTGTAATTTTTATGTTGTTTGATTGATGGGTATTTCTTATTTTATGTTAAATTGAAAATTTTATTCCTCTTTGATGAGTTTTCAAGTCATAGTTGCTTCAAGATTTTCTTTGGCATTTTCATATATTTTGACAAGAATGTGTGAGGGAAATAATGTTTTATGTGAAGAATGTTTGGTTGCTAGGAAACTGATAAAGAAAGAAAATGAATTTTCATAATTTTTATTAAAATTTTTACATATGGTCATCTTACTTGTTAGCTTATTTGGCAAAAATATTAGCCATTTGGCAAAATTAACAAGGCGAGTTATAGACTTGCCAAATTTCATCCATTCAGGTCTTTAATTGTTATATTCAAAAACATTAGATCTTTATTTGTATAAATTAAAATATTTAATTTTGAATTGAGTAGCTACCAAAACATTTAATCTAAAATTGAGCATTTAGCCAAAGTTGGTGACATTAATGCTCTGAAGAGTT